GCTCATAAATATACCAACGGTTAACGATTCTCTCCAATCAAGACCGTACATTCTAGCCACTATACCACATCCACTTATCTTGCCAAACATGGCGACAAAAATTACCAAAAACACATAGCCCCAAGAAGCACCATCATTAAGTAAGCCAATCTGGGTATGAAGTCCGGAAAGCGCAAAATACTAAAATTAAATATTGGAAGCGAATTAGTACAGATAATAAGTTTTTAACATTTAACAATATCTCCGAGACATAATTAACGTACTATTGGTATGAAAAGAATACTAATCAAATCTTCAATCTTTTCAGTAATACCCAAAGCAAATCCGTCCGAGTGAGGTATGATTACGCCGACCATAAAAGCTCCAAAGATAGAATGGACTCCAATAATGTCAGTAATAAAAGCCGATGTCAAAACCAGAATAAGAGTAATGGCCATCATTGCGACAGTTGGACCATTGATATGGCTATTAGTTCTAATAATGAGTGTCAACAGAACCGGCCTCACAAGAAAAATTAATAGCAGACCCCACGCAATGGCGAGCAAAAAGATGTAGAGCGCTGTAAGAGAATTGGAAGCGTTGATAATCGACACTACAAGAGCTAATAGCACCCAAGCCGTTATATCATCACCGACTGCAGCACATAAGGCAGTTGAGCCGACTCGAGTATGAAGGAGTTTGAGCTCAGTAATGATACGAGCAAGCACGGGGAATGCCTGCGGATTAGAGAAGACGTCAACACAAAATTTCTAAAAATTTATATGATACTCAAGATATGTAAACTACAAACCGTAATCGCCATAGCCACTCCAATAAATAGCAGAAAACTCGTAAAAGAATCGCCTCGAGTCGAATCATTAATTTTATACAATCCCAGACTAACAGCAACACTCAAAGCAAATGGTATCACGATCCCAGCCGCCGAAATACTAATAGACATTCGCGCTCGTTTCATGACCATCCTAGGATCCAACTCAACGCCAACCAAAAACAGATACAGCACTAATCCCAGATCGGCTACTAATTTTAAATAGGGAAGCGATGCTTCAGGGAATATGGTGTCGTTGAACCCCGGAATCCTTCCAAACACTGATGGGCCGAGGATAATTCCTCCAATGACTTCGGAAATCACCCGTGGTTGTTGCAGTCGCGATAACACGATGTTAAGAGAACGCGTGACGAGTACTATAATTACAACCTTGCCAAACGTAAAAAGCAAGAGAGGAAGAGAGAATGATGTTGGCGAAAATTGATACGCATATAGCCAGAGAACGGATAAATAAATTGAAATCCCATCTTTTTTCGTTATACTTACCTGGATGATTAATAGCACAAGTGGGTTTGTTGGATCGACCGTTGTCGGCTTCATTCCAGTCAGTACACCACCTCCTTGTTTAGATGACATGATGAAGGTTGTTTACGATATTCTTTATTATTATTACAATGTTAGGGAATAGTAATATATGAATTAGGTCGGATTCGTTGCACTCGCTTCCCAACAGACGAAAACTCAATAAATGATTCGGAAATGAAGTATTTTAAAATTCCGAGAGGAAGAAAAAAATTCCATCATAATTGACGCATAGATATCGTACAGATAATTCTCCCGATAGCTTAAAAGTAAAGAATAAAAATGGATTCTGTGATTAAAAGAGTAAAAGTGCCGATGTGGCTAGTTTGATAATATCATGTGATTACTGTTGGTTCGTGCGAATGCAACGCTCTACAATGATGGGAATATGCGGGAAATGGGAAAGCATTCGCATCAACGAATTCTATATAGAAGGATTACTGCCGCACACTCAGCTTTTGAATCCCTATGTGCTCTTTACTATTTTAGTAATATGTCCAATAATATCTCATGTATATGTCATTCATTATGTCATATTATTATCATATGTGTAGTGGCTAATCATTCAAAATTCGTGTAGTTATTTAGCACTGACACCTGAAT